CAGCAGGCCAAGCAGCATCATAGGAGCAGAAAGGCTGACATTTTGGGTCTCGACCCTCTGATGAAGGGTCTAGGCCCGAAACGTCAGCCTTTCTGCTCCTATGATGCTGCTTGGCCTGCTGTGTTCATCCAGCTCTGCACCTTGTTGTCTCGGATTCTCCAGCATTTGCAGTTCCTACTACCCCTTCCTTCCATTGTTGTCTTTTCAGTGTTACAATTCATTCCCATGTTTGATTGTGTGCCCATCTTGTGATTTTGAGGGCATGAGTGTTTTTTTTTAATATTTCACTTCTGAGAATTTTAAGTTGCTGTATCAAACTGTCCTGGCTTGGAGTCTTCACAAATTTGAAAAAAAAAAACAACAAAAAGAAAACACACTGCTGGTGCACTCACAGTGACAAAGTTTGAACTGAAGCAATCTCTTGATAAGAGAGAAACAGATCTCTTTTTAAACCAAACTCCTGGTTATTTCTGAACTCAAGTCAAAACAAAGCTCGTGGTTTAATGTCCGTACAGTGCCTGGTATGGACTGAAAAGTATCATTCTCCATTCTAACCTTAGAGCTGAAGTGTCTCATCCCTGGAATCTTTCCGTAAACTGCTTCTGTGCTCCCCATCCCCCCACTCCATCCGACTCAATGCGTTTGAAACTTTTCTTATAATGTGGTGCCCACAACTGTACACAGTACTCCAGCTGAGGTCTAACAAGTGTCCTGTACAAGTTCAACATTACGTCCCTGCTGCCGGTCTCTGTGCCCCTTTTGATAAAGCTGAAAACGCGGTGAGATTTATTAACTGTGCTCTCCCCCTGTCCTGCCACCTTCAACGGTCTGTGCACATATACCCTCAACTCCCTCTGCTCTTATACCCCCGTTTAGAGTTGTACTCTCCTATTTTATATTATCTTCCAATGTTCTTCCCAGCAATGTGGATCACCTCACACTTCTCTTTGCATTGAACTACATCTGCCACCTCTCTGCCCACTCCATCAACTATTCAATGTCCTATCCGATTTCTGCACTGTTCTCTTTACAGATTACAATTCTCCCTGGTTTCTTGCCATCTATAAATTTGGAAATGGTCCCCTTGCACAGCAAGATCCAGATCATTAATTATATATCCACTACGAACATTCATCTGGCTCTGAAAAGTGATTGGGTCAGTGTGCTGAGCCGTGGCAGATAGAGATTAATTTGGGTAAATGTGATGTGTTGCATTTTGGTAAACAAACAAGGACAGGGCATATACAATTAAAAGGGCCTTGGGTAGTGTAGTTGACAGAGACACCTGGGGTTCAGGTACATAATTCCTTGAATTTTGCATCAGAAGTAGACAGGGTGATTAAGAAGGTATTTGACACGTTTGCCTTCATTGCTCGGACCTTTGAGTATAGGCGTTGGGAGGTCATGTTAAGGTTGTACAGGATGTTGGTGAGGCCTCTTCAGGAGTAATGCATCCAGGTCTGGTTACCCTGTTACAAGAAAGATATTACTAAGCTGGAGAGGGTTCAGAAAAGATTCACCAGGATGTTGCCACAAATGGAGGTTTTGAGTTATAAAGAGAGGTTGGATAGGCTGGAGTGTAGGGTTTGAGGGGTGACTGTATAGATGTTTATAAAATCATGAGGGGTATAGGTAAGGTGAATGGCAGGTATCTTTTTTGCTTGGGTGAGGGATTCCAAGACCAGGGGGCATATTTTTAAAGTGAGAGGAGAGAGATTTGGAAATAACATGAAGGCATTTTTTTTTAACACAGAGAGTGGTTCATGTTTGAAATGAACTTCCAGTGGAAGTGGTGGATGTGGGTACAGATACAACTTTTGAAAGACATTTGGATTAAGTACATGAATTGGAAATATTTGGAGGTCTATGGAGCAAGCGCAGACAGGTGGGACTAGTTCAGTTTGGGATTACGGTCAGCATGAATTGGACCGAAGGGTCTGTTCCTGTGCTGTATAACCCCATGACCATAAGTCTAACGCATTCTTGTAATCCTTTATGAAACACCTCCCATTGCGCAGTTTCTCTTCCACAGTGAATGCAGGACATTATGAAATGGCTGCTTCTCCTTTTCAAACGTTAGCTTGGTGCATCAAAGAAAGAATTGTAGACCTCAGCAGTATCTTATTCCGCATGTAGCCGGTGCTAACTGGTATCTCGGCAGAGCAGTGACTTGTCACACTGGCGTTCTTAAATTCTGGAGACATGGGATCAGAATGAGGTCATTCAGCTCATTGTGTCTTCTCCACCATACAATGAGATCGCAGCTGATCTGATCATTTACTTTCCCCCGTAACCCTCGATTCCCCTTTCAGATTAAAAATCTCATTCTTGAATATACTCAATGTCCCAGCCTCGACAGTCCTCTGCGGTGAAGAATTCCACAGATTTGCTCCCCTTGGAGATAATAAATTCCTCCTCATCTCCATCTTCAACGGGTATCCTGAGATGATACCCCTTTGGTCCCAGACTCTCGCACACAAGGGGAAAGAACCTATGTCCGCATCTACCCTGTCATGTGCCTCTGAAAATCTTCAATAAGGTTGCCTCTCCTCCTTCTAAATTTCAGTGAGATCAGGCCCAACCTACTTAACCTCCTCCTCACCAGATAGTCCCTCCATACCCAGGATCAACCGAGTGAACCTTCTCCAGACTGCCTCTGATGCCAATCTATCCTCCTTTCGATATGGGGCCCAAACTGTTCACTGTCTCCCAGCTGTAATCTGACTAATGCCTTGTATAGTTTTAGCAAAACCTCCCATTTTTTATGCTCCATTACCTTTGAAAATAATGACAAGTCATGTTCCCCATGATGTGCAGAACTTGGATGCTAGCTTTTTTTTTGTGATTTATGGAGGAGGATGCCCCACACCCTTCTGTCCCATAGCTTTATGCAGTCTTTCTCCACTTAAACAATATCCAGCTCCTGTATTCTTTCTGTCAACGGTATGCACTGCTCATGGGAATGACAAAATCTTTTTTTCTGTGTTTGGGTGGATAAAGGACTCTGAGAAAGCAAAACTGGCTGCCCTTTTTGAAAAGTAGTTTTCCAACCCTCATTGGAAGCATTGGTTACACAGCAGCTTGCTGAAGCAGAAGAGAAAGTCATGTTGGATGATGAGGTGAAGTCAACAGGGTATGGACGAGTGGAGATTTGGCCAGCAGCAAGTAGCTGATTGGTCTGGTTGGTGCTTACATCGTGTTATTAATTCGAATCATTTCATTTTTGACAGCTCCTGATTCTATTATGAGGATTGAGCCTGAGCCAGAACCTCTGTGGTGTGAACAGACATTGAAGCTGAGTTGTCACTGCAACTACAGCATCCAACATGAATTCATTTATACATTTTATCGGGAAGGTTCTGTTATGGCTGAGATCCGGACAAGAAATAAAAGTGTTTCTTTTCAAAAGGAGCGCGTTACATTTGAGGATACAGGACAGTATCGATGCCAAGTGCAGATTGTTAATTATCCCGATGGTCCCGTGTACACATCAGCTTACATACGTGTGGATGTGCGAGGTATGTGTCACTTTAGAACATAGGGGCGAGGAGCAGGAGGAATCCATTCAGTCCCTCGAAAGCCTGCTCCCCCATTCCATATGACTGTGGCTGATCACATCTCGGCCTCAACTCCACTTTCCAGCCCCCATTCCCGTTAACCCATCACTGATTAAAAATCTGTCCCCTCCTTCAATTTATTCAGCGTCCTGGCATCCCCCATGCACTCTGTGGGGGTGGGTGAATTCCTCCAGATTCACACACCACCCCTTCCCCCACTTTGAGAGAAGACATTCCTTTTCATCTCTGTTTTCAATCTGTCTCATTCCCATTCTCCTGAAATCCATAGAATCTCAAAAAGTGTGGAAATAGGCAATTCAGCTCATTGAGTCCACACTGACCCTCTGAAGTGCATCCCACCCAGACTCATCCCCATAACCCTGCATTACCCATGGCTAACCCACCTAACCTATACATCCGTGAACACTACTGGTAATTTAACATGGCCAGTCCACCCAACATGCACATCTTTGGACTATGGAAGGAAACCACAGCACCCAGAGCAAACCCACACAGACACAGAGAGAACATACAAACTCCATACAGAAAGCTGCCTGAGGGTGGAATTGGAGTCAAGTCGCTTGCACTGTGAGGCAGCATTGCTAACTGCTGAGCCACCTTGACTTCTTTTTCTAGGTTGCCCCACATGAGGAAACATCCTCTCTCCATTTCCTTTGTCAATCCCCCTTTACCATCTTGTATCCCTCAATTAGGTCTCCTCTCATTCTTCTAAACTCCAGACACTATAGGGCAAAACTGCTCAATCTCTCCTCATAAGATAAACTCCTCATCTCTGGAATCATTTAGTGATTCTCCTCTGAATTACCCCCAGTGCAAACTATTTCCCTTCTCAAGTAAGAGGACCAAAACTCTCCGCAGTACTCTGGATGCAGAAACACTAATGCCTTGTACAGTTGCAGCAACACTTCCCTTCCCATATGTGCCATTCCTTTCACAATTGCCAGTTGCCTTCCTTATTGCCTGCTGTCCCTGTGTGCCAGCTTTCTGAGATTCGTGCACAAGGACACCCAGATCGGTCTGTACCAGATCATACTGAAGTTTCTCTCCCACTTGAATAATAAGTCACCTTACTATAAAGTTGACTACAATGGGCAACCTCACACTTTACCATACCTTCACCTAACCTATCCATTTCTATTTGTTATTTCTTTGTTGCAGCTTAGTTTCCCAACCATTTTAGCGTCATCTTCTAACCCTTCGCCCAAGTCATAAATATACATTGTAAATAGTTAGAGACAAGGACTTAACCCTGTAGGTCCCCAAACATTATAGCTTGCCAATCGGAAAAAGATCCATTTATCCTTACTCTCTGTTGTCTATTGGCTAGCCAATCCTCTATCCAAGCTAATGTAGCACCCAAAATTTGATGTAGATGGGATTTTGGAAGTTGGTCGTACAATTTGATTGATTTAATTCTCGTGAAATCTAGAGGGAAAAGAATTTCAAGAGCCAAAAGGATTGATTGATTAGAATTAATAAAGCAGTAATTGAGCAATTGATTCGAGCTGATAGCAGCACGGTGCTGGATCTGATATCAGTTGCTAGCTGTAATGCTTCTGGTTTTACCCGACCACCCAGGTTAAACTGCCCCGATGTTGACTTGAAACGATGGCCAATGTTGAACCCTCAACATCTCCATGACCCTGATACTCCCAATACCAACGTCTGGCTGACTGGTCTATAATTCCCAGTTTTGTTTCTACCTCCCTTTTTAAATAGTAAGGTTACATCAGCTACCTTGTAATGTGTAGGAACTGTTTCAGAGTCTGTAGGATCTTGGA